ATCAAATCCAAAATGGGTAGATGCAATGCATGTTGAGATGGAAGCCTTAAATAAGAATGCCACTTGGGAGCTAGTCCCTTTACCAAAAGGAAAAAAGGCAGTTGGGTGCAGATGGGTGTTTACTCTGAAGCACAAGGCTGATGGTTCCATTGACCGTTACAAGGCAAGGTTGGTAGCGAAAAGTTATACTCAAACCTACGGAGTGGATTACACGGAGACCTTTGCTCCAGTAGTAAAGCTCAATACTGTACGCGTACTTTTGTCCTTGGCTACTAATCATGATTGGCCTCTGTTACAATTTGATGTCAAAAATGCATTCCTTCATGGTGACCTCAAGGAAGAAATATACATGGACCCTCCGTCAGGTATCCCTGTAACCTCTAAGGAGGGTATGGTGTGCAAACTACAGAAATCCTTATATGGATTAAAGCAGTCTCCAAGAGCTTGGTTTGGGAGGTTTGCTGCATCTATGAGGAAGTCTGGGTATGTACAAAGTAATTCGGATCATATTTTGTTTCTGAAGTGTCGCAAGGGTAAATTGATAGCTTTAATAATTTATGTTGATGATATGATTGTAACTGGAGATGATCAGACAGAAATACAGAGTCTCCAGAAATATCTGGCATCTGAATTTGAGATGAAATCATTAGGTGACTTGAAGTACTTTCTCGGGATTGAAGTGGCCAGATCTAAGCATGGTATTTTCTTGTCCCAAAGGAAGTATGTTTTGGATTTACTTGCAGAAACTGGAATGTTGGATTGTAAACCAATTGATACTCCTAGTGAACATAATCACAAGTTGGAGTTATATCCTGATCAAGTTCATACTGATAAGGAGCGTTATCAACGGCTTGTGGGGAAATTAATTTATTTAGCTCATACACTTCCTAACATTGCGTATGCAGTAAGTGTGGTGAGTCAGTTTATGCACGCACCTAGTGAAGATCATATGGCAGCTGTGACGCATATTTTGAGATATCTCAAAGTAACTCCTGGCAAAGGGTTAATGTTTTCCAAGTATGGTCATACAGATGTGGAAGGATACACCGATGCTGATTGGGCAAGTTCGGCTACTGATAGACGTTCTACGTCTGGGTATTTTACGTTTGTTGGTGGTAATCTTGTTACTTGGAGAAGCAAGAAACAAAAGGTGGTGTCTCGATCTAGTGCTGAGGCCGAGTATCGTGGAATGGCCCATGGTGTATGTGAGATACTGTGGTTAAGGAGATTGTTGAGAGATCTTGGCTTTGGGCCTAAGAAACCTATGGATTTATATTGCGATAATAAGGCTGCGATTGCAATTGCTCATAACCCTGTACAACATGATCGTACAAAGCATGTGGAGGTTGATCGAAATTTCATTAAAGAAAAATTGGATGCGGAGATTGTTTCCTTCCCATTCATCAGTTCTGAGTATCAGTTAGCAGATGTCCTTACGAAGGTTGTTTCTACTAGTATCTTCCACAACTCGCTTGACAAGTTGGGCATGCGTGATGTCTTTGCTCCAACTTGAGGGGGAGTGTTGGCGAGATATCCTAGTCTTATTAGGATATTTTTTTCTTATTCTATTAGGATTTTATTTGTTTCCTTTTTGTATAGATATTATGTAATTAGGACTTTTCTTATTTCCTAGTATAACCCTACTAGGGTTTGTAACCTTGTATTATAAATACCTCCTTTTGGAGAATGAAATACATCTGATATATTCTACCCATATTGTTTAACTTTCATGACCCTAAAATAATGGAAGTGCACTTTTCATTTTTATGACTCAGTGTCCTTAACATCGGCTTGAGCGACTATACACCTTCTATCTCTTCTTCTTCTTAGATTGACATGATTTTTCCTATTGGATTTTTGCTAATTGCTCATGAGTATGGTCAAGTTGTGCATGCAATTCCTTAGCCAGTATATCCATGGCTATTTTTTATACAGTCGGTTTGGAACAACAAGCTCACCAAGTATATGCTCATTCTTGCCTCGACTCCTAGGAAGGTTGGTACTTAACGCCTTAACAGCATCCACCTCCCTACTCCATGGCCCTTTTTTGGTTGTCACCATATTATGCTCCAGACTCCCTCTCCACAACAAGGTGTGTTTTGACAAGCTATACAATCGATACTCCCTCCGTCACTCTTGGACTCTGGCAGATAGGTTGTTCCCAAAGTATGTTCCTCACAGTGTTACTAGCATCATGTATGGCATCATATCTTGCAAAACACCTAAAGTGGTGCGAGTTGGAATAGGGAAACTTGTATGTCGTCCATAAATGTAATCCCAAGTATGATCTCATAGTCATCCAACGTAATGACAATGAAGTCCATTGTTCCACTTGAAGAACCAAGGTGGAGCTTCACACCACGAGAGACTATGAGTCCATCATTCCACTCCTTGCAATTGACGAGAGACTCTGAGTTCATTGCTTTGAACCCGTCTTCGTCCTTAAAAACCTTGAGCTAACCTCTTAGCTTCCTCAGTTGATACAAAGTTTTGGCTAGCACTTGTATCAATGAACGCACGAGATGTCTTGTCACCCACAACTGCGTCTATGTACATGAGTACTTTCAATGGAACCCTAAGTGTCTTGGTTGTCGCTTGTATTGAGTTGAGAAGTTGAATAGCTCATATACAGCTCTCCCCAGGTTCTTCCTTGTTATCCTTCTCCTCAGAGTCAAGTCGAGCTATCATCGCACCCTTATTCTTTAAACACTTACACATACAATGTTGTCTGTCGCACATGTAGAATTTGGCTTTCCAATCTTTCTCATTGCCTTTGTCATCTCTCTTTGATGGTTTGGAGTCGGATTTTTCCTTGGGCTTCTCATCCTCGGACTTGTCCAATAACCACGACCCTTTGCAGTGTAGAAGAAGATACATATAAGTTCAACATATCAAAATTTCAGGCCATTTGGAGATCTTTAGATGAGTGATTCGTTAATCCTTACACTTGGTATATAATGTGTCAAGAAAATTCCAGTGCATGGACAATTCAATCGATACAAAATCTTTTTTTAAATATGATCAAAGTCAAAATTGCAGGCAGAGAATTCTTCCCATAAACAAATTCGACTAGGACCCAACTTCATCACTAAGCAAACGGGATAATTCATATAAGTTATAATATGGAATTAGGATTCCTTAGCTCAATAAGATACTTTATCACATACTGTATGAGCAACATGACATGTTGGACTTAAACTCAATGTCTGCTAACACAGCTCAATCTAATCAACGTAACCAACGCGTTTGATTTCGGCAGTTGTGTTGTAGTATTGAATTTTGGATGGAACCATTGTGAGTCGAAATGGGTATACGTTTCTCCGAATGGCACTGTATGTCATTTCTGAAATAACCATGGGCCAATGTCTGATTACGTAGATGCTAACCCTAACCCTGCTTACGTATACGTAGATGCTAACGCGTGGAAAGGCTAGTATTAATAAAAAAAGAAAGAGAAGTAATGATGGTGTGTGCATTAATTAGGAGCATATTTGTAAGAAGTTGTTAAACACATACGTACAGACACACACTAATACAGTGTCATGGAGATTTGAACCTCAGACCACTAATTTGCAAGTCAAGGCCCTTTTCCACTGGGCTAGACCACATTGACTTTTTTTGTGTGTGTGTCTATTTTGTATTTCTACTACTTACTTTTTCTTTGTAATTTAGGGGAGGACAAAGAAAGAGTGATAATTAATAAATTTTATTATCTAAGATTAATCAAGATCATTTGGATTCAATAAAAAGTAAAATTGGAGTATTATCTCGTTGGAACCCTAGAGAGGCTTGCAAAACAAGGAAAAGTTTCGAAGAGTAATTGGTCATATGTGTGATGCCGGTCGAGGACTCTATGACGCTCAAGCCTTTATTCCAAAGATTAATGTTACCAACTGACTTATTACTCTAGTTAAATCTTAGTCCAAAATCAATCAAACCAAAACAAGCAAATAAAAGAAAGTGCACAACATATTTTACGTGAAAAATCCCCAAGACGAGACTCTAAAACTACAGGCACTTTGCCAGCCAAAAAAGAATCCACTACTCAAATGCATTGAAATTTAGATATGGAACAATAGGGACAACATTGATATATATGTGGAACAAAATGCGAAAAACAACATCAACCGATTTTGAACATGAGGGACCAATATGTTGACCTCTAAAAGCGTTAGAGATCATGTGATAAAAAAAAATATTGAGTTAACGTGTGTGAAGGTTAATCTATATGTCCTAGGCTGCCCCTAAAATGTCACCCCTACTTTCCATTTGAGACACTTCTTATTCTGGAAACCCTCTGCTTTCATATTCTTTATACTATACTTTTGGGTAATGGGTTGCAGGCGTAGGAGGCTACAAATATTTGAAGACAGTCTTCAATGCTTGAATTCACCATACCAAACTTGTTTTCGTCCTCTATTTTGGTTATTGTAACTTATTGTTTATTTAGTGATTTATATAATTTATGATGAACTTGTAATGAAGTTCAAGTTTTATGAACTTAAAATGAAGTTCGATCATGTACACAATTGCTCTATATGCAGCAGAATGCATGATTCGATCTCGTTTCTCAGAAAGAATGACACACACATATGTAGACATGTTTTATCATATGAATGAATTTACGCGGCTTAATACGATATGTACGTACATGAATTAGAAGCAAGAAATGTATGTATAGAAAGATTAAGACGGACAAAACTAACGATTGACTACACAATGAAGAAAAATGCATATAATATCAATCTCAGATTTTTTGGAAGCAGTACACAAGTTTCCCTTGAAAAAGGAAAAGTTGATCAAAAGTTCCAGGGCTAATAGAACAGAGAGTAAAGCTCCCCGGGAGGATAGGAAAATGGCAACCATAATTAAACACATACTTAACGTTTAATTAATTAGTTAATTACAATGTGTCCGATGCTAAACTCACAAACCAAACTAATCCTATAGTATAACAGTTTTATTGACACATAATAAGATGGAAAAGAAAAGTGCAGACATATCAAACAGAAACGAAAACATTAATCAATTTCTTTACCATTAATAGTCAGTCCAATTACATCTGTGATCCATGGCTCCTTTGATCAGCTTTCCCAAGCCTACTAGCCAAAGAACTGATCACAACCGGCGTGTGCCCTGTGAACAAAGCGACATGACCCATGAGCTTGTCCTTCCTTGAAAATGTGGTTCCACATGAGCACTGCCACCTCAGATCCCCACAGTGCTTCTCATGGGTGCGCAGATCAGATAACACAGAAAACTGCTTCCTGTTGCACCTCTTGCACACATACATCTTGGGGCAATGGCTCCTCTTGTAGTGATTCTTCACACAGATCATCGACTTCAAGGGCTGGAACTTGGCGTGCTTCTGGTTCCACCTGCACCCTACTTGCGGGCATGAATATTTCCTTGGCAAATTCGTCGAACAATCTGTGTTTCCATCTGTGCCTCCGGCGCCATGATTGTTGTTGTTATTTGTAGTGCTATTGTTTTTCTTCATGGGGTTGCTTAGTGCAACGGTGGTCTTGTACTCGTCCCCATGAGCCCTCATGTGCATTCTCAAATTCGCATCGCGCTTGAACCCTTTCCCACAAACCTGGCAGTAATGGGTGTACTTGGCCAGCAAATCAGCAGCCTCTAGCTCAATAATGTCGAAGCTTTTCGGAGAAATAGGCAGTTGAATGCCTTGCACATGCCTAGTTTTCGTATCTCTTGTGGTACAATCGATGTAGCTGTCGCTAAACCAATCGAGTGCTTGATCATCATTAGTTGGATAGAAAGGAGTGTCGATTTTATTGTCAGGGCCGCTACCAAAGTTTGGTTGCGAAAATCGAGGAGGAGGAGGAGGCTTATTAAGGCCTTGATGGTGGAGCAATTGTTCTTCATGGTCAATAGTATTAGAAGTGCTAGTAGGGTTGTTATTACCTGGAGGAGGAGGAGAAGAGGACACAAGGGCCATTTGCTGACAGGTGAACATCATCGAAGAAGCCGTGACGATGATCTCTTGGATCACATTGTTCATGCTTGCTATGGTCATGCTGGTCGACTCCGGGGGTTGACTTTGATGGTGGTGATGATCTGGAGAGATAAGGATGCTGAACAGGGATTTGGCTTGGCGAACCTTCTCTTTGAGGACCGAGAGACTGTAGAGGAGAGAGGTTGAGTGGTTCTCTGGGCCTGAAGAGGTTGAAAATGAAGAAACTTGAGGATCTTCAGTCATGGAAAAGATTTGTAAACCTTGGTGCTCATCTTCTTGTTGTTGTGGCATGGTTTGGAAACAATTAGATGTGGCCCCAGAAATCATTTTTATTTCCAGGTTGTACAGCCTTTCGCTTTTGATTTGCTTTTGCTTTGCTTTTTCTCCAATCTGCCTCCCCCTCTGAGTCTGGATTGTTGTTTCCTTAGATTGGCTTTCCAGATCTTTTCTTGTAAAGGTTAAAAACTGTTTGTAGTGTATTGGTGGAGATTATATAGGGATATGCTTAAGAAAGAACCTATTGCAAGAATATATATAATTAAATATGCTAAGTTTTCAGCTAGAGGAGAGAGATACAGAGAGATAGAAGTCAACTTGGAGTTTAGCAATCAACTGATCATCCCCAGTTATGACCTTCCTCATATCTCACGACCCTCACGTTAGGACAAGGTAAAGCCCTTGTGCAGAGAGTTTTCGAGAGTTGGCAAGCATAAATTAATCAATTAACTAATAAATATTAGTTTATCCGTTTACTTGCATGAATTGCCTACCAAGCCTATACCTAGTTATTTCTTACACGTTGAACCCTTCGCATAGTTTATTTGTTTTTTTTTTTTTAATAAGACCAAATTTTAATAAAGAAAGAATAAAATTCTAAGGTGTACATATATATTCCCCTTTTTATTGAAGGATTTTTCAAATAATTTTATTTGAGGGACATTCTTTAATGTTTTCTGCAATTTTTTTTCAACAATCTAAATAATCTATTTTTTAAGTCTACATTTATAGATCATCTTTGCAAAAAATTATACAAATCGGAAACCGTTTCGATATCCAATTGTATCATACAAAATCAATGAACATGGTGCTTTAAGAAAGTACTAAAATTTCAATAACTCAATTGAGTGGTAAAATGATATTTGATTCAAGTTTGAATGATTATCTAAAAAATAGACGTTTGGATTAGTGAAATATAATGTGGAGTGGGCCCTACAAGGGTGTTCCTCAAATAAACTTATTTGAGAGATCTCTCAATAAAAGCTCTATGTGGCACCATATTTTTTACACAAGTTTTAGGCCATTAGATTACTCCAGTTTCAATGGATGAGATTAAATCTGACATAATTTTTTTACATAAAAAATAATTAAAGTATTTTTCTCTCTCTTCTCTCTATTTTCTCGAAAAATTAAATTTCTCTCACAAAAGCATTTTTTTTTTCTCTCTCCTCTTTCTCTTCCCCATCACATTTTCTGCTAACACTTTCTTTCATCAGACAAAAAAACAAACGTGTTGATCTTTCTAATCTTTCTTTCATATTGTTGTTCATGTTTCTGAATTTTTGGGTCTTGGATTTAGGGATTTTAATCTTCTCTTTCAACCAAGATAAGTAAGGACTAGATGTTGGCAATTTTATATTTGCTTTGTTTAGCTTCATTTCTGAAACTCCAAACTTTGAACCAAGCCATTAAAAGCCTTAACATGTAAGAATGTATCGCCCTGCTCTTGTAAAAAGAAAAACTTGTAAATTGGAGTTATGCGAAGCAAGTTTGTGTGAATTCAAAATATTATTTGGATATCATTCTTCTTCACCATGATATCCAAGCTTATTAGAAGGTAACTCAACTTGGCATTTTTTCAGACCAAAAAAATAACTTGGCATTTAAAAAAAAAAGGACGAAAAACCAATGAAAAATTGGTACTTTCACCTAATATGTAGGATTTTTTTAGTTATAGTTTGTTTCTTGCTTGCTGGGCCTGTTTTGGCTTCAGCTTTCTTTATTTTCAGTCTGGCTGTGTTTCCTTTTTGCTCTTCCGTGTTTGGAATGGAATTGTCTTTGACAAAAATTAAAATAGTACTACAGCAAACAAAAATCTTCACAATTATTGTACAATTCTTCGAGTCTCATTAGAAGATCAAGAAACAAAACTTCGAGTAGTTAAAGCCACAAAAAAAAATAAAAATAAAAAAAGAGATAGAGGGAAAGAAACGGAGGAGCAAGAAGGTTTTTGGGTCTGATGAAAGAAAGCGTTGGCAGATAACAGGAAAGAGGAGAGAGGAAAATTACTTTGCTGAGAGAAATTTACTTTTTCGAGAAAATTGATAGATGAGAGAGAAAAATATTTTAAATAATTTATTTATGCCAAGAGGTTTAATCTTATTCATTAAAAATAGGGTAATCTAATGGTCCAAAAATTATGTCAAAACTTGTGTATAAAATATGATGCTACGTACGGATCCACCTATATATATATATATATATATATATATATCTTAGTGTTTGCAATTAAAGGGAGTCTAAGTAACGTATACTTATCTTCACGTATGCGTGAATTGAAATTTTCAAAAGAATGATCTCATAGCAATCATATCATTGAAACTTTTTTCGGTCTGAATCAATTCATTGAATCAGTGATCATGTTAGTCGTGAGAAAGCGTGCGGCTTTCTATGCCATTTTGGTCCATGCTTGCTGCTTCTGCTGCTGCCCTTGTTTGAATATATGTGTCATTAACTACTCTGGGATTTGGATGAGCCCTTCGCCAGCTTAATAGCTTCTAGTGAAACTAACTTCTTAGTTAATTTCTTGTGTTATGATGTAGTCGTCACTTCACATCGATGAGTCTGAGCCGTTGATGCAAGTTCTCTTGCCTTGTCTGTAACAACAGCCCATTGGAGCGACTCGACTGAATGGCTAGCTTTTGTTATGATGTAGCCGTTGATGAATATCGAAGTCAATGTGAGGGTTTACAATTATCAACGGTTGTCAGTTATTGTTTACGAAAGTATATAACTTTCTATCTATAGTAAATTTAGCTTAATTCCTTCAAAGTCATTTTTCCAATTACAACCCATCTCTTTATTTTTGTTTGAATAAAATCCTGTTTTTTCTAAATAAAACTCGATGACTATGATGCAACGCGGCAAGTTACTTAATCAAGCGTAAAATCAAATTTATTGTACTTTTTTGATTCTATTACTTTTATATTATTTTTATCCTAGTCAAATTTATATTATTTGCCTATGATAAAAATAAGGTACCTACTACTTTTTTTATTATTCAAATAATATACCCAACTTTAATAAACGCATTTTGGATATAATTTCCTATTATATAATAATATAACTTGTAATTTATCTATTAGAGCCTTTCCACCAGTTGCCCCCAGTCAGGGTAGGACAGGGCCCAAGCCCGGACGACGCCTTCCAACGGGCCAAGCTTACCCGGCAAGTTGCGGGTCCCACGAAACCGGGTCAACCCACAAGCGAAACGAGTAAGTGTTGAAAAGAGTGATGAACAAAAATGCTCTCGATGAATGATATTTTTCTAACATAAGCTTTTTATAAACGATCCAATAAACCATTTTAAGAGATTAAGACAACAAGGCTGCATTCTTTCATACCCATGTATGGCACACTTCATGATTACGTTCGCACTTGTTTAAGCAACTTTCCAACATGCGCCGCCACGACCAAATTAAATCAAGGTCTTTCTTTTCTATAATGAATTATGAAAGTATGTGATATTCAAATGGCCCAACCGGCATTATATGGACAGGTTTAGGACATAAAGAATCCACAGCATGGATATTATTATTACTACGTCTAGATGGCTGCCTGCTTTGATTTTTGTGTGTGTGTGTGGGAGAAAAGGGGGGGAAAACGCTAGACAAAACCTGCCTGCTTTGTTTTTAATACTACTTGAAGCATGCTTTTGGTCCGCCATTTTCATCTCTAGCCAATATATATATATATATATATATTAAGTTATTAATTAACAAAATCTTGGGTGTGTGGATGGATGAGTACATATACCTAGGTTTTTTCTTCTTAGATAGACCCACGGGCAGGGCAGATCCTCCTTGGTGATTAAAAAACGAAGAAGTAAACGCTTATGTATCTATATAAAACGAGTGTTATATATTTTGTATAAAACATATATATATATATATATATGATAGTCAAGCTATGGCTTGAATATGCAAAGATATTGTCAAAATAATTTGTAGGGGCTTTTAATTGGGTGTGGGTTCTTGGAACACATGATCATCGACAACAACTTGGTATTTGGATGTGGTATTTTGCAACAAGGAATTAATTATTCTTTTGAATAGTAATTAAGGCTTATTATATTTAATTAATTGCTTCCTATGTATCAATCTCAAGGTGGATGGATCATGGATGATGGCTACTCCCATAGTCGCTGTTGTCGACTATGGCCCCTCTCATTTGTTAGTACGTAAACTGTGTCAGCAAAGAGAGAGAGAGAGAGAGAGGGCTTTTGCAGATGTTCTCTCGAATTTTCTCCTTTGAAAGGGTTTCAAACCATTCTCTTGGGCTTTTCTGGGTTTCTCTGGAATCTTTTTGTGTCTGAACCTCAGGTTGGGATTCAAGTTTGAGCTCAGCTTGAGGAATTGGCTAGAATGTTTCTTCCACACCACAGCTTAGAGCTTGACATGCTTACGTGGCAACGAGCGAAACTCAACATGCTAGACTGACTTATACAAGGGATCTCTCCTTAATACTCCCTAATTTGGATTTTTGTGTTCTAAAGACTAATTAGGTTACTTTTCCACTTAAACAAAACTTTGGACTTGGCCAACTCAAGTGTCAACAAGATATCTTTTTCCTTGCCGAAATTAAAAGAGGTTAAACTGTGTAGCTAAAATTGATGTAACGTATCAACAATTTGTATATAGTTATATTATTTGAGGACACTATTTAGAGTCCCCTATGATTTTTTTTTTCTTTCCAACGATCCAAATAGTCTATTTTTCAAGTCTTTATATTCATAGATCATTCTTGCAAAAAATCAAGCAAACTGAAAATTATTAAGGCATCTAGTTATGACCAACAAAATACACGAACACAGTGCTTCAAGAAAAAACTATAATAACAACCATCTAATTGAGTGGTCAAATAGTTTCGGACTTAAGTGACTTTTTTTTTTGTAGAGAATACGTAGTGCGCCCTTCAAGGGTGTCCCTCAAATACGCTTATTTATTTATTTATCTTTTTAATTCATAAAAAAATAAAAGAGAAACAAGAATTTTGGTTATGTCGTTTAACCTCAATTTAATTTCGTTCATGTAATTTAATTGTTTCATTCAAGAATTTGTAGTTTTTATAATACAGAAATTCTGGGATTACATTCATAATTGAGCAAAAAAAAAAACCTATAGCCACTGGTGGTGGGCACGGTCTAGTTTGGTCTGGTTCTCATCCCAAATTAGAACCGACACTATTTATTC